CGGTAAGCCTCGCCAGCGCTGTACGGTAAAGTTCGCCACCGGACATGGCTCAAATGAAAGGTATTAACTTGGGGAAGGCCACACTGAAATGAATTTTTGAGAGTTAGGCCCATTCGGAAATTGTTGGGGTTCAAAGTTGCTGTTAAGGAAAAAAATATATATACACTCTATATTCTTTCGGTAAGCCTCGCCAGCGCTGTACGGTAAAGTTCGCCACCGGACATGGCTCAAATGAAAGGTAATAACTTGGGAAAGGCCACACTGAAATGAATTTTTGGGAGTTAGGCCCATTCGGAAATTGTTGGGGTTCAAATTTTGTAGGTTTTTACCATACATTTTTTGGGACAGGTGGGGGCTTTCCATAAATATTTCTATTGATATTTTTTAAATGTTTCTAGCGTTTAGGTTATATTTCTATTGTTTTAAGAAATATTGTATATAAAATACATGTTTAATGTTGTTTAATTGATAAAAACTATATTTTACATAAAGACAATTATGCAACTTACATAAGGGATTATATTCGAGGACAACGAGAATTTACGACAGCTTGAAGGGGTCATAAAACGATTTCCTACGTACTTTTTCACTCCTTTTAACTCTCAATATTTATGATTTTCAAATAAGTTTGAATATTGAACCGACTGCTCACAGCTAGTTGGATATAGAATATCGAACCGGCGACTAACTGCACATATATGAGTTATGTAGAAACTAGATATTTCTATACACATTGACACCAATATGCCGGATTTAGAAAGCAAGCTAGTGAGTGCTTTCAGTTACTGACGTCATTTGTGTTGGTTTGTTCAACGTTCACTTCTAAGGCTGAACATCTGTGGTCATTTAGACGTTAAAAAATAATACATTTATCGTATTGGTAGCTAGAATTTCGAAAAAGAAGTGGCTGCTATCATTATTGGTATTTAAAACGAAAAAATCCTTTGAGAATCACTACAAGTCGTGAAATTGTCGAATTCCGCTCTTAAATTACATTTAACTTAGATTTTGAGATTTTTGGAACGTTCGAGTCTGTTGTAGTTTTGAGGTTTTTAGACATATCATCAAAATTGGCTGCTGGAAAAAAGTGGCTGCTATCTTGATTGGCTGCTAAAAGTGGCTGCCAGCTTGAGTCTAGTAACATGACAGGTGCGTTTGACTCCAATCTTGATTGACTAGCTATAGGATAGCCAATAGTGCTGAAAGTGACGTTAAAACACAAAAAATCAATCAGTCAATCAATCTTTTTATCTAATTTCTTTTTTTTTAAAGAATTAAATGATACTGCTTAACTGGGATCAAAACAAAAGGTTACGTACCTGGTTATTACCAAGTTTTCAAAATTAAAGCCTATGGGAAAATATGTCATCGTGGAAGTCTGTAATATATAATATATTTGTAAGAACCGCTCAATGAGAGAAAATCAAACATTTTTTGTATGGCATTTAAAGTGCCATTAGATCAATCAGAATTCTACTGCGTCAAAACTATATCCCCATTTTGCCACCTAATTTTTTAAATTGTAAAATTGGAAGCCATTGCAGGGATGACGCCCTCTTGAAAACCGATAAATTTATCAACATGGCATCATGACAGTTGTATTTTTAAAGACAAATGTATCTACTAGCTATTAAGCATCATTTAATGTACTTTTAGGTCTTTTGTCAACTTAAAACTAGAGTCTGATCGGTTGTTTGGGGGAATTTTCGAAAGTTAAAAAAATACTAAAAAAATTCTAAATAAATATTATAGGGCAGACTAGAAATTTTCAGAGGTTAAAGACTAATTACCAAAGATACCACACACAAAAAAATGATAATTTTTCGAAGTTGTGCACAAAAAAGATCCACAAGTAAAGTCTGTCATCAAGTGCTTTTAGTAAAATTTTGTTAAACACACCGACTCATTAGAAAGTTATTTCACTTGGCTCATATATTTAATTTTTTTTTTTTGCATTGTGAATTTTCAAAAGTAATTATATCAACATGTAGCCTTAATATATAATTATTATGGAATCAGAAGCGAGATAATGTATCAAATATTTTTTTTAATACATTTTCAAGACAAAACAATGAAGTCAAAAACGCCTGAATATAAAAGTTGAAACCGACTTTCTCTTTTCGACGCGATTTTTGTATCTTTTTAGGATTTTTCCCCAAAAAAATTGTTGCAGGGGGTCATAGATACAAATTAATGCTTTACAAAGATGAATCTTTATCTTTCTGTAGAATTTTTTTGGCGGAATTTATGCTTAATATGCACAAAAAAGATCCACATGTATTTGCACCTACCGTAATCGAGTGTTTTGTGAAAATTTGTCTGATATAAAAGTTAACAAATATCCCGAAGCTGTATACCATGATAGTTTAAGTATAAACACGTACACAAGACGCAAACAATCCGTAATTATGGCAATGCGCCTACATATAACTTTAAAGCCCATATAAAATAATTAGTGCGGTGACGGAATAGTAAAAAGGCTATTATTAACAGAGTTTAATTTCACTTTATAATACACGGCTAAAAATTGGTATACATCTAGAGAAATGATTTTACTTTAATTTTAGACTGGTCGTCAAAAAGTCGTATCACGGCTGTCATTCGGTTTATAGAGAGAAATGATCGTGAAAGAATATCTAACGGTGGTCAAGCATTGCGATCAGATCGTGATCGTGAAAGATCAGGTATCGGATCGTGAATGTAATTAATTGTAATCTCTACTTCAAAATCTGTGAAAAATGTGCTGTATTTTCCAAACGCGGAACAAATCCGGAAAATGATTCAACTTTCTCAATAGTACTGTGCAATAAGATAAAGAAAATATGCAGTACTTTATGAGAAAACACAAAAGGCGCAACACAAGTCTATGGGATTCATTGAAGAAAAAACACGTTTTGTACCTATAATGGTGGTATTCCAATATATAATGATATATTTGAAACTGAATATTTGGTGTGTAGGATAGTACAGTAATATAAAAGTAATGTTTTTCTTGAAACCGTATATTTTGTTTTTGAAAACATTGAATTTTGTTGATTTTTCATCAAAATCGATCGTGAAAGATCGGGCAACGTATTATCTTGATCGTGAAAGTCAATGCGTGACCAGACGGGCGCAAGACGTTTGCGCTTTTTTACAGGTAACACTAAAAGTCTTTTCGCTTTAAACACTATGGATATTAGCGCTTTAGACTTTGACGCACCTGTACAAAATTGACAAGACATTTTCGCTTTTTACCTATAACAGTTTTCCTGCAATCTTAGAAAATTAAGCAAAGTCACGGAAAGATGTACATATTTTGTTTGAAAGTTTTTCCGAACAAACGACAAAATCAGAAAAAAATATTCGGGTAAGCCAGACATATAAGAAATATAGTATACGTTTCTAGGTTACCGAAAGAGAAAACGAATCATCTTAGTTTTTACCGAATTCTTCTATTAGCTTTTTAATTAGTGGATTTAAAATTGGAAACTACAAATGTATAGTAGCTGAATAGTGCGAGAAACTGTATCATCATAGTTTATCTAAGCTTCAATTTGTGAAGACCAAAACTTTATGTTTAAACCACGCAAACGTCCCACGCCGGACCTGACTTATGAGTCAGAAAACAGTATTTTTTTTACCAATTGATATACTTGGAACTATAGTTGCAGCGCGTACTTATTTTGATATACACGAACATAACTGCTTTAAATTATTTTTTTTTAAATTTTATTATTTCAACAGTATTCCTTAAAAATAATAAAATAACTAAAAACTTGTCTAGATAAGTAGATGTACAAGATAAAAAGATCCTCAGGAGCATTTATTGTCGGAAAGTAAAATATATATGTATCTATAATGACTAATGCATCGTCCCTGGAAATGTATGCATACGTACGCATTTTTTTTGGTAAGGGTTGTTGTTACTTTCAGTTATATGGAGTGTCGTTCGTGCGTACCTATGGCAATATTCGCTAATTTATTGTTTATTTCGTGGCTGCGCTGACATTAACTTAAGGTAGATTGGGGGAGGGGTCTAAATTGAAATTCATAGAATTTTCTAATAATTTGTAAAAATGTAGTTCATATCATGCTTTTTTTGAAAATATAGTAAAAATTATTGGTCACCGGGCTTTTTTTTTCATGCTACCGGTTGTGCAAAATTGTCACCTTATATATGTGTTCTGTACCTTTATATTGCAAAGTTGAAAAAAAAAAATGAATTAAAACAAAATAATCTTTTTTTTGTAATATATAGCCGTTAATATAATAAGACACTAATTTTCTATATTAACAAGTAAAGTCTTACACTTGAATTACATACTTCTTTCGAAATTTGCACATTTCATTAAAGATCTAGACAGATTGTTGTCTGCTTTTTCAAAATCCAAGAAAGAGGAAGACACCCCAGCCTCCTTAAAAGGTACCAAGATAACATTATTTTACTTGATTGTTTGATCAGTCTGTTCACAATAGCTCTATATATATATATACGTCATTGTATCAAACTTATTACCAATCAACGTACCTCGATTGTGCATGAAGCCCAGCTTAAACTGTAATTTAGACGATTAAGTTCAATTCTCAATCTTAAATTTGTATTAGAAATCAAAACTTATGAAGAACGGATAAGTAGAGTGTTATTGCTACAAGGAACCTAGTCGATGTGGTATTATACATATTAAGATAGGATGATCCAATGGTATTGAACGATAAAAAAAACCCTATAAACCAACAATAGAGAACCGGGATGAGTCATGCAAATCCAGGATATTTGTTAAACCAATTAAAAATACAAATAATCCTAAAATTAAATAATGAATTTAACGTTTTCGTAGCGTCAATTCTTTCACGATCCTTTTCACGATCTTCAAAAAGCGGTACGCAATCTTTCACGATCCGAAAAATCATTTTTTTTGTCAGCTAATGTTCCTAGACACAGATAACAACGAGAAAACCTTGTATAAATGACCTAGATCAAAGAGTCTGAGCTATGTTTGCTGTTAATAAAACACAAGTTGAGTAAAATGTCATTTATTCAGAAATTAATTTAAAATGCAACTTACATCTTAACAATTATAATAGTACTGCATAAATGACAATGACTTTAATAAGCAAAGGTGGGGTTGAAAAAGTGCCACACCCTAACATAATGAACATCATAAAAATGACAAAAATAAAAGTGAGTTGAAAAAATTAACTCACCAACATATATATATACAAAGTATATAAACAATACAATGAATATTGTCCTTAATTGATGTTTAAAGAAAAATAAATGTCCTATATAATAACGCTTAAAAGGGAGGGAAATGGGAGGGTTTTCAGATAAAATTCAAAAACGACCTTTTCTCTCTCCCAAAACAAAGGCGAATGACCGCATGTCCGAGCACATGTAGAAATTTGATATTAATTACCGATCTCAAGAACTGACCAATCAGATAATGTAATTAGATGATCATGCATTGAACATGCAGTCCTTGACCTCATGTTGATATACTTAAACAAAGAAATGCCTTCTTACACACATGGCATTAATAAAATCAATATTATCGGAAATTCCAGCCAAAAAGTCTTTTATTTACAATAAATGTTATTTTGTCAGCTAATGTTCCTAGACACAGATAACAACGAGAAAACCTTGTATAAATGACCTAGATCAAAGAGTCTGAGCTATGTTTGCTGTTAATAAAACACAAGTTGAGTAAAATGTCATTTATTCAGAAATTAATTTAAAATGCAACTTACATCTTAACAATTATAATAGTACTGCATAAATGACAATGACTTTAATAAGCAAAGGTGGGGTTGAAAAAGTGCCACAAATCCCAAGAGGGATCCCCATCCGAGGACTCTGAATTCAACTTAAGGAACTCCAGAACTAGAAAAATTGAGCAAGCCATGTTGACCTCAACAAAAAACACCCAAAATGGAATAAAATATACACCTTTTAACTTTTGCATTTCAAGTAAAAGTGTAGAGCAAACCATGTTGACCTCTACAAAAACATTAACACAGATTATAAACAAAGCAAAAAATAATATATACTAATATAATGAAACTTGTAAATGAAAGGTAAAGCAAGCCATGTTGACCTCTACCAACCAAATAAATACCATTACATATATAGTAAATGACTGATGGCAAAAACTTAAATTTGCAGAGCAAACCATGTTGACCTCTACAAAAGTAAATAATTCTAACATGTATAAAACAGTCTTGTTAATCCTTACAAAAAATGAATCACAATAAGGTAAAGCAAGCCATGTTGACCTCTACCAAAGCACTTAGTAAGCGACTGTGATTATATTAAATCTAAGTGTGAAAATTATCAAGTCGAATATAATGTTGAAAAGCGTTTGACTTCCATCTACCCATGTTTTGGATCAAGGCTAAAGGCACACCTCTGGCAGCTGCAGATGTCGCAGCTCCAATTCTGAAACTGTGACCTTTATAAAAATTTGTGTCTAAACCTACGAAATTAAGCAAACTTTTTAATGAAGAATTGAAATAAAAACCTGAAACAGGTTTTCCACATTTAAATCGAAATAAAGGACCAAGTGGACAATAATGTAACCTTAGATATTCCTCAATAGCTTTAACAGGACATAGATAATTTTCAGGACGTCTAGCTATTGATAATGTCTTACTTTGCAGATTACTATGTTTGTAGAACTTCATAGTAATTGTCATATTGCTCACATGACCATTTACTCTTTCAAACTTTATATCTTCCCTTTGAATTACTCTATAGAATTCAGACTCAGTTTTAACTGCAATTTCTCCAATACGTAAGAAACAAAAATAAGCAGTAGACATCATAGCCTTTAACAAAACTTGATTATAAATGCCAACTATTACTTTTGGTAAAGCCTTAACTAATTTTACAAGAATATCATAGGTTATTGGCAACCGTGTATCAACAGAATGTCTCAACTGTTTTGTACCTTTTAACATTTTTTTAATAAAAAATGTGTCTGTTGGATCCTGTAAGAACTTAATTTTATGTATAAAACTGATGGCTGATATGTATGACGCAATTGTAGATGGTTGATAATTTTGAATAAACAAATGTGAAATAAAATGAGCAACCATGACATGAGTAGATGGAAGTACAATAACTCCTGGAAAAATTTTCTGACAAAAATTTGAATACACACTTAGCATTCTATTATATGATGACACAGTAGCATCAGATAATGATGCACTAACAAGCTTATCAGTCATAGATGCAAAAATTGAGGTGGAATGGCCACAGGAGTTGGACTTAACCAAGGAGCAATCTGATGAGCTTCCTGAAATGAAAAACGAGACAACAAGTCACAAATAACGTTTGTTTTTCCAGGAATATGTTTGGCTCTAAAATAGATATTGTACTTTAATGCAGCTAGCACTAATCTTCGAATCAATTTCATAATATTCTTTTCTCGAGATGATATTTTATTTATAATTTCAGCAACAGCTGAATTATCTGTTAAAAACAGTATTTTATGATTTGCCAATAGAGGGCCCCATATATCAATAGCTAACACAATCGGGAAAAGTTCTTTCACTGTAATGTGTAAATCGACTAACTCCGGTGGCCATTCACCTGAAAACCATTTGCTGCCAAAAACTGCAGCAAAACCACCATATGTACCTGCAGCATCAGAAAAAAGTTTTAAAAAATCTGATGAAACCCATTCTTTAAATAAAAAACAAGATTTACCATTGTAATTTTCAATAAAATTGTACCATAACTTCAGATCTAATCTTGCATCAGAATTAAGATTGATTCTATAATGAGGAGATGTATGGCCTATAGTCAGGTCAAAAAGCCTACGTAAAAAGGCTCTTCCAGGTATGATAACTCCGCATGCAAAATTTAAAAGACCCAATAAGGATTGCAATTCTCTAAGTGAGATACTGCGTTTACATTTGTATTTACTCAATAATTGCAAAATTTTTTCAATTTTTTCCATAGGTAAACGAGCTACCATCTGAGTAGAATCAATTTCAATACCGTAGATAATAATGCAAGTAGTAGGGAGTTGTGTTTTGTCTGATTTGATGGGTACCCCCAATTTATCGGCAAGACAAAGAAAAGTTTGTAATGCACTATAGCATTCATTTGAGCCAGCTTTTCCGACAAAGAAAAAATCATCTAACAGGTGTGATACCCCATATATTTGAAATTTAGCATTTAAAATCCAGTGGAGGGCTGTAGAAAAAGACTCAAACAGCTGACACGAGGACGAAGCCCCCATGGGGAGGGAGACATCATAATAAAATTGTTTGTCCCAATGAAAACCCAATAGATGATGATCTTTTTTAGCAATTGGAATTAAGCGAAATGCATGCTCAATATCTGTTTTGGACATTAGACAATTTGATCCATAAGATTGGACTAAATCTATAACTGTTTCAATGTTTTGGTATTGTACAGCCGAAAATTCTGGGGAAATACCAGAGTTTACAGAGTCACCCTTAGGATACGACAAATCATGTATTAATCGATAAGAATTGGGTTCCTTTTTTGGAACTAAACCCAAAGGGGAGCATACAAAGAGAGGGAAAGGGGGCTTTGTAAAAGGACCCTTAACTCTACCTGCTTCAATCTCTTTATTTAGTTTTGATTGCACAACATGATAATTTTCCCTTGCACTTTTATGATTTGGAGGAAAAATCATTTTATTTAGGGATGTAGAAAAACAAGAATTAATTGAAAATCCAAAAGAAAAACCATGAATCAATTTATCTTTCAACTGTGTTTCATAACCTGCTAAAAAGTGTTTTAAATTTTCAACCTTTATTGGTGTTGGAAGTTTTGACAAAGTTTGCTTGTTTTCCTTTTTGCTCTGGACATGTAAGGGTACAGTGTTTCTTGCTGCAGTGTACACATTGGTGTTTAAGTTTACAAAACTTTGATATGCATTCCCCTGATTTACAGAAGGCCCAGCAATAGCCATTTGGGAATTGATACTGATGCTGGGCCCTCCTATGAAAAGAATTTGGGCCTGAGTTTGAGGTTTTGGCAAATGACTTCTTATTTTGACCTGAAAATTCAGATTGTCTGTCATATAAAGCTGCAGATCTCCAAAGTTCATCATTTATTTCATCCCATCGTAACCCTAAAATTTTCCTTATCTTCCTAAATTTCTCGTCATATAATTTAGCGGCTTGGAAACCCAAGGACTTGCATAATGACCGTACATTAAAACCATATTTTATCAATGCTTTAGCAGACCTCAAATTCTTTTCAAGATATATAGACATAAATATATCAAAAGCATTTGTCCATTGGTGAATGGACAAAAGCTCTTTGTTAGGTTTCCTATTTGAAATCGTAATATTTAAATTTTCAAATAATGTTGATTCATTACATGTATCATCAATATTAGAAGGTAACAATAGAGCAAAATTTACATAATTATCACACCAAACATCAGATTTAACCTTATTGCTGACATGGTAATCTAAAGGTATAGTATGTCTCAACATTTCACATGCATATGGAATTTCTTCATTTGAGTTTAGCAGCTCACCATCAGAAGGAGTGTTGATATTAGGATCTGAGGAAACTGGTGGTTGAAAGACAGCTAACATTGGTCCCTGGGAGTCAGTAGTTGACGAATTTTCTGGTTGTATAGATGATGACGACAATATACCAGTTAAGTCATTAATTGGAACTGCTGTATTGTCTTTGACAAGTTGAACGCCAGAACTTTGAAACTTCAGGAACAAAGCATCAGCAATGTCATTTGCGGTTGGAACAGACGACTGTTTAGTATTTGTTTCATGAACTGACAGATTTTCAGGAGCTGTTTGTCTGGCCTTGCGTCTCCGCACTGGTGGCCTGTATATTGGTGGTAACTCCTGACTTTGTTCCTCCACTAAATCGTGAACATCCTCTACCAGGTTTTGTGGAGCAGCCTTTCTTCTTGTTCTGCTTTTCTGCTTTGGCATTTTGCTATAAATACATAAAACAAAAAATAAAAATAGAAATCCTGTATTATCACAGAATTTAAAGAATGTTACTATATAAGTAAAATTTTTAAACCAAAATGCTTGTCCGGCAAATTAAACATAGTTGATATGATGATATATCAAGCAAAATATACTCATGTTTAAAATTAAGTTTGATTATGATATGCTAATTAATACTCCAAAACCAATTTTTAAAACCAACCAATATGTATAAAGTACTTCAATTGTACCAAAATCGATCCCTATTGTGACACAACCATTATAGGGAAAGACGTGATTTATTCTCTGATTAAATAAACTAATAATACACTAATATAATAGTATATAAACCATGATTATGAATAAATAATCAATAATTAAATATAAACAGAGACATATTATATTATATAACTCTGATATAACCAACCATAATAAAATATAAATAAGACATTTTTCATGTCACCAGTGTCACAACCATGTGAATATAAGCACAACCACTCAGAGATATTTTGAATTATAAAATCGTTAAGGTGATGGAGTAATAATATGCAAATAATTCATAGATAACTAAATAATTGTATTGTATGTTTCTTCTTCTTCGTATGTCCTTCCAATTAGGAACAATAAGTAATAACAATCATACACGGTAGTTTGCAACGCAAGTTTGCTCGACATTACATGTACGTGAAAGGCTACCAACAGCAGCACGAACACTTCTAGCGTATATTTCCACACCTTCATCATTAAGATGAACTTTATCTTTTAATAATAAATCTGGGGTGTTCTTCCACAACCCCCTATGATGCCAGAAAGTCGCATTATCTCTTTGTTTTAGTAAATGACTAAGTTCTTTGTTTACAATGTAAACCTTGTTGTTATAATAGGTTTCCGGTCTTTCGGAATACCTCGGGAGAAGTTGACCAATAACCACGTGGTTAACATGATAGCAATTAATTATGTAATCGGCAAAAACGCTGATATCTCTTGCTAATTTTACGGGCTCATTTTCAGACGATAAATCGTTGCCTCCAACCTGAAGAAAAACTGAATGTGGCGTATATTCTTCAATTATATGCATATAATGTTGCTTTTGAACACATTTATTACCGGGGCGAAGAGTCCCTCCCCCCAAACCAAAAAATTCCACCTGGATATCGGTTCCGTCTAAACCTAAATTTAACCAACCTCGATCACAGTTTTCATGAGTAAATGTTTCTAAACGACGAATAAAAGAATTACCAAAAATTAAGGCACGCCGGACCATGGTTCAAAAGCAACTAATCTATTATAAAAATTAATAAATTAAAAATTAAGCTATCAAAAATATATTGAATAATAGTTAAGGTTCGCTTTTACCTTATAATCTGTGGATTCTTCGATGACTGCCTTTCTTCAGTACTTTTTCAGTTTTTCAGATAAAATTCAAAAACGACCTTTTCTCTCTCCCAAAACAAAGGCGAATGACCGCATGTCCGAGCACATGTAGAAATTTGATATTAATTACCGATCTCAAGAACTGACCAATCAGATAATGTAATTAGATGATCATGCATTGAACATGCAGTCCTTGACCTCATGTTGATATACTTAAACAAAGAAATGCCTTCTTACACACATGGCATTAATAAAATCAATATTATCGGAAATTCCAGCCAAAAAGTCTTTTATTTACAATAAATGTTATTTTGTAAATATTTCATTTTTTGCAAAATTCTGTTCATGCTAACACAAAGTAACTTTAAGAAAACCATTTGAATTATTAAAATGGAATGACATTTTACAAAGAAAAGTTGTCTAGTCATTCGAATTATGTACAAAATCTTGTTTGTTTACATATTTAATGTCGTTGAAATGTCGAGGAGCAATCTGCCTTTTGTAGTTTTGTAAAAATGGTTTACTTTTAAACCTTAATTTTTATCAGATACTGATCATAATGTTGAACTATTTTGACAGCCAGTTTTATTATTTTGTAAATTTTCCGTATAATTCATTAAATTAGATTAGCAATTGAAATTACAAATGTCTTTTCGATAAGATTTTATTCACGATCCTATACCTGAGCTTTCACGATCAGTTTTTTTTTAATTTGACGTTTTGTTAGCAAAACTGACTTTAAATGTGGACTCTACGAGGCATGTACTTTTGACTGTTATTTAAAAATCGTTGCCAAATATATGTATTTCGTATTGGATTCAAATATCACATATAATATATTATTCATTAAGCGAAAAAACTAACATCATAAGTCTTTTGTTAAAAAAATATGAAAATACAAAGTACTGAAATTTGTGACATTTTGTCGCTTCACCGGATTTCAATACTATACAAGAAGGCACTAATTTATAAATTATTAAGTAACTTATACAACGTTATAATTTAACAAATACTCTTTTCAGTGACATAATTTTTAATCATATAGAATTACTGAAAAAGACTTAAAATAGCATCCAAAATATTCACTATTAAATTACAATCTTAGTTAATTTTCAGCAAAGTCGTGTCAGGTCTCTGAATATTATTAACCTTATTGATTTTGAACTTCTAGCGCACCAATGTTCGATTAATATATAGCGATTATCAATTGATTTTACTTGTATTGGTTCAATATTCTTGGTTTCTTTGATTATTTGTGTGTCTTTTTTTCTATTTTGAGGTTGTATTGATAGGGTTTTATTCGCTTGAGAGGAAAATAATTTTTTTAGTTGTAAGTTATTTTTAGAAATTGAGATTTTGACCCCAAAAGATGGCACAACTGAGAACTCCGTTTAAACTTGGTCCTAGTAACTCAAAGCGGCTGAAACCGAGTTTAATCTTAGAAAAATGTGTAATTTGCCAGAAAAGCAGTAATGAAACAGTTGTTTTATTTACTGGTAACAGTAAATCGCGTTTTTTTTTATGCAGTTGGTAGGCGTAAAGATGATATTTACTTGAAATTAATAAGTGAATATGATTCATTTAATGATATACTGAAGGAAAGTTTGGAAATGGTATATCATAAAAGTTGCTACATATGTTATACAAGTGAACATAATATTGCGGTGTTTACTAAGAGACAAAACGACGAACAAGGCCAGGGTAAGTCCAACATTATTATAAATAGTAGTATAACATTAGGGGATGCAATCAAGGAAGCCAGTAATTTGAAAGCAGAGTTAAAATGATCAAAAGAAAAACAAACGAGTTGTATGTATAGCGAACAAACGGATGACCAACTCCTTTATCCAGTAGCAAGTATAATTCGAAGAGGCATTGACAAAGTAAGATTTTTTAAAGAGCACTACCCAACTTCAACGGAGGTATCATTCGAAAATTCGTTACAGTCAATGCCCGATTCATTGGTCAAATTACTTAATTGGATTAGGGACGAAAAGGCTTTTAATACTTGCAGTGTTCCTTCTGATATTAAATCGGAAAGTATGAGGAAAAGTTTGGCTTCAACGGAATGTATTGTTGCAACTAGTAGTATCCTTACACCTTTTCATCTTGGTCTTGCTATTCAAGTTTAACACGAGTTTGGGTCGCAGCGTCTTATTGAAATTCTGAACGCCCATGGGTTTTGCATTACATACACTGAACTGCGCAAAGTGTTGCAAACCATGAAATCAGTCGTATCAGTGGCGACCGATACATCCCAGGAGGTATTCGACCCTTTCCAGAAGGAGGTCGGTTGTTTCAACAGGATTCCGATAATATTGACATAAACCCCGAGACATTAGATGGTAAAAAACACGTTCCATTCTCTTGATAGGGCTGTATTTCAAACAAAATCAGTTTGCGTTTATGACTATGGTTCGGAACGAATCAAGCAAGGAATTGAGCGATCTTTGGCTATAGATGATACAACAGCATCATTGACCGATGCGATTCCTTTCTCTAAACCAAAATGTAGATCAGAACCTTCACGACGATCGGATGCTTTCAAAAACCTTCAATTATGTGATCCTGATAAGAGTAAAA